GAATTCAGTGACATCATCAAGTATAGTAATCCTTCATTATAAGGATCCCAGAAGGTGAAGAAAGAGAGAAGGGGGCAGAAACTTTTTTTGAAGAAATAATAAGTTCAAAATTCCCTAATCTGGTGCAGGAAACTGAAATCCAGATTCAGGAGGTACAGGCAGCCCCCAACAAAATCAACCCAAGAAGGTCCACACCAAGACACATAATAGCTACAATAGCAAAAAATACAGATAGAGAATTTTAAAAGCAGCAAGAGGAAAACAGCTACATACAAGGCAAACTTCATAAGGTTATCAGCTGATTTTTCAGCAGAAACTTTGCAGGCCAGAAGAGAGTGGCGTGATATATTCAAGGTGATGAAAGGAAAAAAACCTGCAACCAAGAACACTCTATCCAGCAAGGCCATCATTCAGAACAGAAGGAGAGATAAAAAGTTTCCTGGACAAATAAAAGTTAAAGGAGTTCATCAACACTAAACCAGCCTTACAAAAAACACTATTCTTTGATGACAAGAAAAGGCCATAATCAGGAGTAAGAAAACTATGAAAGGAAGAATTTTCACAGGTAAATGCAAACATATAATAAAACTGGTAGATTACTCATTGAAAATCCAGTATGGAAGTTAAAGCAGTAAAATAAATTATATCTATAAAAATTAGTGAAAGGATTCACACAGTAAAAGAATATAAAGTATGACACCATATACATAAAATGTGGGGGGGTTAGTAAAATCTTAGTGCTTTTAGAATGGGCTTAAACTTAAGTGAAAATCAACTTAAAACAGACTGCTATATACCTAAGTTGCTGTATATGAACCTAATGGTAACCACAAAATCAAAAACCTATAACAGATACACAAAAAATAAAGAGAAAGTAATTGAAGTATATCACTAAAAAAAGCTATCAAACCACAAGGGATGAGAGAAGGAACAGCAAAGAACTACATAAACTACCTTAAAACAAACAAACAAACAAGACATTAAGAATCAGAGAACATCTCCAGAAACAACAACAAAACAGGTAAGAAAATGGCACCAAATACATATATTTCAAAAATTACTTTGAATGTAAATGGAATCAATGCAACAATCAAAAAACATAGGGTGAATGAATAGATTAAAAAAAAGAGCCATCTATATGCTGCCTAGAAGCTATCACTTCAGACCTAAAGACACATGCAGAATGAAAGTGAAGGGATGGACAGTCAACATCCAAATGGAAATAAAAGCTGGAGTAGCAGTAATTTTAACAGACAAAATAACACTAATATGAAGACTGTAACAAGAGACAAAGGAGGACACTATATAATGATAAAGGGAATAATCCAAGAAGAGGATATAACAATTGTAAATATTTATGTACCTAAATTCATAAAGCAACTATCAAAAGACATAAAGAAGAATTTGACAGTAATACAATAATAGTAGGGGACTTTAACACCTGCTTACAACAGATGGATCATCCAGATAGAAAATCAGCAAGGAAACAGTGGCTTTGAATGACACATTGGACCAGATGGACTTAACAGATATATTCAGAACATTTCATCTACTAACAGCAGAATACACATTCTTTTCAAGTACACATGGAACACTCTCCAGCATAGATCACATTAGCCCACAAAACAAGTTTCAATAAATTAACAAAGACCAAAATCATATCATGCACCTTTTCTGCCCACAATTGTATGAAACTTCAAATCAGTCACAAGAAAAAGTCTGGAAAGAACACAAATACATGGAGGGTAAATCACATACTACTAAGCAATGAATGGGCCAACCAAGAAATCACAGAGGAAATTAAAAAAATACATGGAGACAAATGAAAATGAAAACAGTAATTCAAAATCTTTAGGATGCAGCAAGAGCTGTTCTAAGAGGAAAGATTATAGCAATACAGGTCTACCTCAAGAAACAAGACAAAGCTCAAATCAACAACCTAATCTTACACCTAAAAAAGCTAGAAAAAAGAAGAAAAAAACAAAGCCCAAAATCATTAAAGGAAGGTAATCATAAATACTGGAAAAATAAATACTGCAAAATAAATGTTGCAAAAATAAATGAAACAGAGACTAAAAAAGAAAAAAAAAACTTATCAGTGAAACCAGGATCTGGTTCTTTAAAAATATTAATAAAATTTATAAACCTTTAGCCAGACTCATCAAAAAATAAGAAAGAGAACTCAAAATCAGTAATAGTGGAGGAGAAACAACCATCACCATAGAAATACGAAGGATTATAAAAGGATATTATAAAGAACTATAATCCAATAAATTGGACAACCTAGAAGAAATGGATAAATTCCTCAAAACACATAACCTTCCAAAACTGAATCAGGAAGAAAAAGAAAATTTGAACAGACCAATTACCATCAATAAAATTGAATCAGTCATCAAAAAACTCCCAAAAAACAAAAGTCCAGGATCAGATGGGCTTCACAGGTGAATTCTACCAAATATTTAAAGAAGAGTTAATACATATCCTCTTCAAACTATTCCAAAATACAGAAGAGGAAGAAAAGCTTCCAAATTCATTCTATGGGGCCAACATTACCCTGACAGCATAACCAGATAAAGATGCTACAAAAAAAAAAAAAAAAAAAAAAGAGAGAGAGAGAGAGAAATACAGACCAATATGTCTGATGAACACAGATGAAAAAAACTGTCAACAAGATATGAGCAAACTGGATCCAACAATATATTTTTAAAAACCCTTCACCACAATCAAGTGGGATTTATTCCTGGCATGCTAGGGTGATTCAATATTCACAAATCAATCAGTATGATACACCATATTAATAAAAGAAAGGATAAGAACCAATGATCCCTTCAATAGATGCAGAAGAAGCATTTGACAAAGTACAACATCCATTCATGATAAAAACTCTCAAAAAGGTAGATTTAAAGGGAACATACCTCAACATAATAAAGGCCTTATATGAAAAACCCACAGCTAACATCATATTCAATGGGGAAAAACAGAGCTTCTTCTCTAAGATCAGGAAGAAGACAGGAATGCCCACTCTCACTGCTTTTATTCAACATAGTACTGAAGTCCTAGCCACGGTAATCAGACCAAGAAGAAAAAGGCATCCATACTGGAAAGAAACAAGTAAAACATCCACTATTTGCAGATAACATAGTACTATATGTAGAAAACTCTAATGACTATACCAAATAAACTACAACTGATAAATGAATTCAATAAAGTTGCAGAATACAAAATTAATATGCAGAAATATGTCACATTTCTGTACTCTAATAATCAAGTAGCAAAAAAAGAAATTAAGAAAACAATCTCATTTAGAATTGCACCAGAAAGACTAAAATACCTAGGAGTAAATTTAACCAAGGAGGTAAAAGATCTGTACTCCCAAAACAATAAAACACTGATTAAAAAAAAAATTGAGGATGACACAAATGCAAAGATATTCCATGCTTTTGGATTTGAAGACCCAATATTGTTAAAATGTTCATACTACCCAAAGTAATATGATAGACTTACTGCAATCTCTATCAAAATACCAACAACATTTTTCATAGAACTAGAACAGATAATCCTAAAATTTTTATGGAACCACAAAAGACCATGAAATAGCCAAAGCAATCTTGAGAAAGAACAAAGCTAGAGGTATCACAATTCTAGATTTGAAGATAGACTACAAAGCTGTAGTAATCAAAAGAGTATGGTACTGGCATAAATACAGATACATAGATCAACAGAACAGAATAGAGAGCCCAGAAATAAAGCCACACTTCCATGGTCAATTAATCTATGACAAGGAGGCAAGAATATACAATGGGGTAAAGACCGTCTCTTCAATCAGTGGTGCTGGGAAAACTGGACAGCTACATGCAAAAGAATGAAACTGGACCACTTTCTAACACCATACACAAAAATAAACACAAAATGGATTAAAGACCTAAATGTGAGATATGAAAACACAAAACTCCTAGAAGAGAACATAGGTAGCAATTTATTTGACATCAGCTGTAGAAACATTTTTCTAAATATTTCTCCAGAGGCAAGGAAAACAAAAGCAAAGTTAAACTATTGGGACTCCATCAAAATTAAAAGCTTTTGCACAGCAGAGGAAACCATCAAGAGAACAAAAAGACAAACTAATTAATGGGAGAAGATGTTTGCCAATGATATATCTAATAAGGGGTTAACAACCAAAAATAAAGAAAAAACTTATAAAACACCAAAAAATCCACAGAGAATCTGATTAAAAATAGGCAGAGGATTTGAATAGATATATTTCCAAAGAAGACATACAGATGGGCAACAGACACATGAAAAGATGCTCAATATTACTAATTACCAGGGAAATGCAAATCAAAACAACAATGAGATATCACCTCTTACCTGTCAGAATGACTAAAATTAAAAACAATGAGGAACAAGTGTTCATGGGGATGTGAAGGAAAAGCTCCCTTGTGCATTACTAATAGGAATGCAAATTGGTGCAGCCACTGTGGGAAACAGTATGAAGGTTCTTCAAAAATTTAAAAATAGAATTACTGTATGATCTAGTAATTTCATCACTGGGTATTTACCCAAGGAATATGAAAACACCATTTTGAAAAGATATATGACCCCTATGTTCACTGCAGCATGATTTACAATAGCTGCACAGTGGAAGCCACCCAAGTGTCCTTCAATAGATGAATGGATAAAGAAGATATGATTTTGTATATATAAAATCTCACACACACACACACTTATACACACCATGGAATATTACTCAGTCATAAAAAAATGAGATCTTGCCATTTGCAAAAACATGGCTAGACCTAAAGGGTACAATGCTAGATGAAGTCAGTAAGAAAAAGACAAATGCCATAACTTCACTCATACATAGAATTTAAGAATAGAGAGAATAAAAAAAAAAGACCAAAAAACCCAGACTCTTAAATATGGAGAACAAACTGGTGGTGGCCAGAGGGGAGGTAGGTGGGGGAATGGGTGAAACAGAGAAAGGGGATCAAGACACTTACTGTGATGAGCACTGAGCAATGTACAGGATTGTTGAATCATTATATGGTACACCTGAAACTAATAAAACATCATATATTAATTAAACTTCAATTGTTTTTTTTGAGAGTAAGAGTACACGTGTGAGCAGGCAGGGAGGGGAAAAGGGAGAGGGAGAGAGAATCCCAAGCATGCTCCACACCCAGCACAGAGCCCGACAACCTTGAGATCATGACCTGAGCCGAAATCAAGAGTCGGGCACTCAACGGACTGAGCCTTCCAGGCACCCCAACTTTACTTCAATTTCCCCAAGTACATTTTAAAAAAGCTAGTTTTGGAATACAGTATTAGTGTATTGTAACCTTTTTAAATGAAAAACAGTAAAAAATATATACAATGTGTGCAGTAGGTAATATCTCGGTAATATGCTCTTATCTAAAAATATCAAGGGGGTAAATTATGAAAGACAATATTCCAAATGTCTACTTCCAAATTTAGCAACCCATATCAGAAGTACCTAATAAAATTGAAACAGGAATCTTAATTACAAAAGGGTAAAAGGTATCTCTGTGACCTAATTTAGGTGTGGCTGGGTAGTACAAATTGTGCTCTGTAACTTATATATTATGTAAAAAAAATCACAAAGTTGAAAAAATGATTCTAATGTTTTGGTTTTTTTTTTTCAAAATACTTTAAAGTGAAAAAAATGTCTGTGGCATATTTAGCCACTGACCTCTATCCTTTCCTAGTTATGATCAAGAAAAAGATGAAATCACAAATGCGATCCGTTTCCTTTTTCATCTTGGTTAGTATTTTGGATAAAAGAGAAAGAAAACAAGCTTTTGTTTTATGCCCAGTAGTACAAGTGTCACTACTTGAGACATTATATTTTAAAGCCATATAAAAGTAAGATATATTCTCTAATGAACAAATTCTGTAATAGGAAGAGATGAGATTTACCCAAGTTCCTGCTTCAATTTTGATGTAGATATTTTTTAAGTCATTTGGCTTCAGAATGTGTATAAACTCTACCAAAACATGAAATTCACTTACATATCCTCTATCTGGGAGTCCCTGTTCTGTTTCTTCCACTCCAAATAAGTGAAGAAGGTATAAGCTTCCAATTTAAGGATGTATATTTCACTAAATTTTACTGAATGACACCCTCAAGAAAACCAAACTGTCCAGAAAAATACATGTACCTATGTGTGTATGTACATATATGTATGTGTGTAAGTAGCATATATGTACTTAGGCAATCTCTCTACTGGCAGAGAGAAACCAGAAAAAGCACAGGATAACTCAGTCTCTCATCCACTGTACAGAGTGGCTTCCTTCATCAAAGTCAAATGTGATTACATTTTGTGTCATGTTAACACTAGACAGTAGATTGAGTGCAACTGTATTCGGAGTGCAGGTTTTGATACAGCTGTCAAATACCAACCAGAATCACATTTGAATTTACAACCCAGAACAGAAAGGCCTTTTCAACCCTTTGAACTGAACATGGGAAGCAAAAGTTTTAGATAGAATGCATTTTGACTTTTGAGAGTTGCTGCATTTAATAAAGCTTTCTGAAAAGAAAATAGCCATGAATAAATATACTCCATGACATGACTAAAATAATTTTCCTCAAGAATCCATTTATGGGGGCACCTGGGTGGCTCAGTCGGTTAAGCGGCTGCCTTCGGCTCAGGTCATGATCCCGGGCTCCTGGGATCGAGCCCCGCATCGGGCTCCCTGCTCAGCAGAGAGCCTCCTTCTCCCTCTCCCTCTGCCTGCCACTCTGCCTACTTGTGCTATCTATCTGTCAAATAAATAAATAAAATCTTAAAAAAAAAAAAAGAATTCATTTATGGAAGAATGCCATTTATCACCAGAACTCTGAAGATCCTATAGTTAAAACTACCTGAAAAGAACAACTTTGAAAAATTTGGGGGGCATTATTTGTTTAAAAAATATCAAGATTTGTAAACAGTCACACAGTTACTTACAGCTATTTCACTTTAGTTGTAAAGTAATCAATGTGTTTACTCTTGAGAATGAACTTAAATACTAGTTATTGGCATAGTCTTAAAATCATAATATTTCGATGTAGAGCTGATCTTTTTTTAAATTTTTATTTAAGTAATCTCTACACCCATGAGATCAAGAGTCATAAGCTCTTCTGACAACCAGCCAGGAGCCCTCCAATTTAAAAATTTTATATTTTATATTATATTATATAATTATATAATATATATAATTACATGTAATTATATTATATAATTATATATATTATATAATTATATTATATTTATATTATATTATAAAACAACATGCAAAATAGGACATTTAAAATACAAATACATGAAGAGAATATATAACATACAGAAAACATAAAACATCGATACAATTTCCATATGGTGCTGAAATTATAGGTAATCTTTATTTTCTTTCCCATGCTTATTTGCATTTTAAAAATTTTCTATAGTAAGCTATTATTTTTGTAACAAGAAAAAAATAAAATATATAAATATGTTATGAAATTTTATTACTGCTCTCTGGTTATGTAAACTTGTGTGGTCATCTCTAGTTGGCAATAAAACCACCAAAAATTATCAGGGAAAAGGAGAGAACAATGAGAATTAGACATGTTTCAATTTTGTGTCTATATTACATTAAAATATAACTTGTTGCCTCTGCATTCTAAAAAAAAACCTTGCAAAATGGCAAGTTAAAAAGAAAAGATCTAATTTGTTCTGATGGTCTCTTTTCTGTATGTCCATCTTAACTTACTCCCCTTCCCCCGAAAATTAGGTCACTTTCTCAACTGTGGATCTGTGAGTAAACTGCTGTGTTCACTTGGACCAGCAAGTGAACTTTCTCACACTTCAAGAGAAACATAAGCAACATATAAAAGCCAGAAAAAAAAGGGGAATCACTGTACATTAAAAAAAAAAAAAAAAAAAAAAGCTGCTTTTAGGGCATTAAGTGGGAGTTTTAGCAGTTTCCCAAAAATGGCCTCAGTATTTACCACTGGATTGTGGGAAAACTGCAGCAAAACTCTACCTCCAACTGAGTTAAATCATGTAAAGCAGCTCCAATAGAACTTGCCATGATAACATGTAAGATATTCATTAGACACATGTGGCTCTTGAAGGAACCATTATGTAACCAGTACTAAATTTTAAATTTTACATAATTTTAATTAGTTTAAATTTAGATGGCTACATGTGACTAGCATAGCCAAAATATTCAACTTAACGCTTACTTTATGTCCTTGATCCAAAGGAGGGAAGTTAGTTTTAGAGTAAATAAAATGCCAGAATGTATTTTAGAAGCTTTAATGAGATATACTTTGCATACCATAAAACCTATCCATTTTAATTCTATAATTCAGTTTTTTAATATATTCAGAGAGATGTACAATCATTACCACAATCTTCGAACATTTCAGCATCCTAAAAAGAAACTCTGTACACATTAACATCACTCCCTCCCCCAATGTCCAGCACTAGGCAATCACTAGTCCACTTTGTATCTCCATACATTTGTTATGCTGGACATTTCATATGGAATCATGGATCGTGTGGTCTTTTGTGACAGGCTCCTTTCACTAAGTATAACGTTTTCAAAGTTGGCTCATGCCATACATCAGTATTTCATTCTTACTGCCAGTAGTCCATTGTATGGATATAGCACATTAAATCTATCCATTTGCCAGTTGCTAAACAACATAGTTGTTTGCTCTGAGTAACATGAAAAATGCTAACGTGAATAACCCAGCACATGTTTTGTGTATGTGTTTTTATTAGTATATACTTAGGAGTGAGATTGCTGAGTCATATAGGAACTCAATGTTTAACATTGAAAGGGCTACAAAAGTGTTTTCCAAGGCAATTGCACCATTTTACCTTCCCTCCTGAAATGTATGAAGGTTTCATTTTCCCATGTGTTCATCTCACTTGTTTTGTCTGCCTTTTGTCACAGCTCTCCTGCTGGAATTGGAGCACTATTCCATAGTGGTTTTGATTTGCAATTTCCTATCACTAATAATGCTGAGCATCTTTTCCTGTACTACTCAGAGCAATGTCTTTTTGAAGAAATTTCGATTCAAATTATGTGCCTCTTTTTAATTGGGCTATTTTTCTTTTTATTATTATGAGTTCTTTATATATTTTGGGTGGGAACCCCTTATCAAATATATATTTTGCAAATATGGCCCCCGTTCTGTGGGTTGTCTTTCATTTTCTGGACAGTATAATTTGCAGTACACAAGTCTTACATGCTGATGAAGTCCAATTTGTTAAATCTTTGTCACTCACACTTCTGTTGTTGTTATCTAAGAAACCATTACCTAACCAAGGTCAGGTACGTTTACTCTTATGTTTTCTTCAAGTGTTTTTGTACTTTTAGCTCTTATATGTAGGTCTAGTATCCCTTTTGAGTTGTGTATAGAGATCAGGATCTAATGTCTTTTTTTCTTTTTCACACGGATATCCTGTTTGGCCCATTTGTTGAAAACCTTATTCTCTCACTCATCGAATTATCCGGACACCCTTGTTAAAAATTAACTTATCATCAGTGTATCTGTTTACTTCTCAACAACAATTCTATTTCATCATTTTATGCTTATCCTTATGCCAGCATCACACTCTATCATCACTGTGGCTTTCTGGTAAGTTTTGAATTCAGAAAATATGAGCCTTCCCCTCCCCCATATCTTACTCTTTTCTTGCAAGTTCATTTTGGCTGGGTTTTTTTGTTGTTGTGTTTTTGTTGTTGTTGTTTGTTTGTTTTGAGAGAGAGGGTGGGGGGGGTGGGAGGGGGCTTGATCTCACAACCCTGAGATCATGACCTGAGCCAAAATCAAGGGTCGGACACTTAACCAACTGGCATTCAAAGCTGGGGAAAATGTGACTATAAAAAGATATAGAACAGAACCAGATTCATTCTCCAACTGAGAAGCTTTCTAAACAAAAAATTATGTTTGTTGCATGGGGATTCATCATCTTTCGAGAGCCAAGAGTACAGTTCCAGTGTGGGAAACTTAGTAGAAATCACCTGCTGTTTTGTCAAGCACCGGGCAGTGGTGTAAG